TTAAATGTTCGTGTTTACTGATCACAATTTTTCATTTCATGACTAATTTTACTTTGCAGGAAGATCAACGAACGATGAAATCAAAAATGAGGGAAAAAGTTCGACCTAAGATGGGAAAAATAGACATTGATTATCAGAAACTTCATGATGCTTTTTTCAGATATCAAACTAAACCTAGAATGACAATACACGGTGATCTTTATTATGAAAATAAAGAATTTGAAACAAGGTTAAAAGAAAAGAAACCTGGTATATTATCAGATGAACTCAGAACAGCACTGGGAATGCCAATAGGACATGTGAGTGAAGTTACATTTTAAATGTTTTTATGGAAGTCGTATAGCGTTATTATCTCAAACACTGGTTAAGTCGATTTTCAAACTTAATTTCACTTGAATCCGCTCGGAAAAAGATTCGATTGGGTAAAGGGTTAGATGTAACTATAATCGCATTGTAGTTTAAATCTGGGGTTCAAATCCCATGCCCACCACCTTGGGTAGACGATGTCAGACCTAAAATCTTCTAATTCTTCCAAAATAAAGCGGCTGCCACCTTGGGTAGACGATGTCAGACCTAAAATCTTCTAATTCTTCCAAAATAAAGCGGCTGCCACCTTGGGTAGACGATGTCAGACCTAAAATCTTCTAATTCTTCCAAAATAAAGCGGCTGCCACCTTGGGTAGACGATGTCAGACCTAAATCTTCTAATTCTTCCAAAATAAAGCGGCTGCCATCTTGGGTAGACGATGTCAGACCTAAATCTTCTAATTCTTCCAAAATAAAGCGGCTGCCACCTTGGGTAGACGATGTCAGACCTAAATCTTCTAATTCTTCCAAAATAAAGCGGCTGCCACCTTGGGTAGACGATGTCAGACCTAAAATCTTCTAATTCTTCCAAAATAAAGCGGCCACCACCTTGGGTAGACGATGTCAGACCTAAAATCTTCTAATTCTTCCAAAATAAAGCGGCTGCCACCTTGGGTAGACGATGTCAGACCTAAATCTTCTAATTCTTCCAAAATAAAGCGGCTGCCACCTTGGGTAGACGATGTCAGACCTAAAATCTTCTAATTCTTCCAAATAAAGCGGCTGCCACCTTGGGTAGACGATGTCAGACCTAAATCTTCTAATTCTTCCAAAATAAAGCGGCTGCCACCTTGGGTAGACGATGTCAAACCTAAATCTTCTAATTCTTCCAAAATAAAGCGGCTGCCACCTTGGGTAGACGATGTCAGACCTAAAATCTTCTAATTCTTCCAAAATAAAGCGGCCACCACCTTGGGTAGACGATGTCAGACCTAAAATCTTCTAATTCTTCCAAAATAAAGCGGCTGCCACCTTGGGTTGACGATGTCAGACCTAAATCTTCTAATTCTTCCAAAATAAAGCGGCTGCCACCTTGGGTAGACGATGTCAGACCTAAATCTTCTAATTCTTCCAAAATAAAGCGGCTGCCACCTTGGGTAGACGATGTCAGACCTAAATCTTCTAATTCTTCCAAAATAAAGCGGCTGCCACCTTGGGTAGACGATGTCAGACCTAAAATCTTCTAATTCTTCCAAAATAAAGCGGCCACCACCTTGGGTAGACGATGTCAGACCTAAAATCTTCTAATTCTTCCAAAATAAAGCGGCTGCCACCTTGGGTAGACGATGTCAGACCTAAAATCTTCTAATTCTTCCAAAATAAAGCGGCTGCCACCTTGGGTAGACGATGTCAGACCTAAAATCTTCTAATTCTTCCAAAATAAAGCGGCTGCCACCTTGGGTAGACGATGTCAGACCTAAAATCTTCTAATTCTTCCAAAATAAAGCGGCTGCTTGTGCCAAGAGCCTTGTTCGGAGTGATATGCATATGAAAAAAAAAATCCATCTGGGGCATAACTTTGAAGCTGCTTCTCAGATTAAAATTGTTTCCCTCATAATGTTTATTTTGGAATGATCATTTCCGTATGTCTATTGGTCCCATTATATAACAAATTGTATAAATGATGGCATCAGAAGTTTTAAGACCAGGCACACAAACAAGTTCATGTTGGCCTAAAAAACTACTGTTTGACATGTAGGCCTACCCTAGACAAAATATGAAGCTAGATCACGAAAATCTGCACTCAAACTTGGACTCGAAACTCTAGTGAAAGATTTACCTGAAGGGATGGTTTGTTATTGAACTTAGATGGGATTTTGTTTCACCGAAGCAAATTGCAAGACTCTGGAGCTGATAAATTTACCAACCTCTTTGTATATACAATCTTATTTTCGATTCATCCTTTTTATTTACTAGAATAAAGAAAAGATTCCTCCACCTTGGTTGATTGCAATGCAACGTTATGGTCCACCTCCTTCATATCCTAACCTCAAGGTTGCAGGTTTAAATGCACCAATTCCCGAAAGTTGTTCTTTTGGTTATCATGTCGGAGGATGGGGAAAACCACCTGTAGATGAAATGGGAAAACCGTTATATGGAGATGTATTTGGTGTACAAGTTGGCGAATATGATGACCTTGGTGATAGTAAGTGAACTTATTTTTGTAGTAAATTATTTTGCTGGTACATTCAAGGAATGTGCAACATGTGGCCCGAGGGCCAAATTTCGGCCCACAAGGGAAAAATTTGCAGCCCATTGAGAAGTGCCAATTTTGAATGCTGTGCGGCCCGAGAAATGAGTTTGTAATTAGGTTTAATCTAATATGTGCTTGTAATCCAATTTATTATTCATGTCTATGACGTTACAATGCCCAAACTGCTAGCTTATGCAATGCGAACAACGCATGTCATAAGATTATTAACCAATATTTTTGTGCCTTCAACTACCGGAAAGCCTATGTTAAATTATGGTGCGGCCCACGCTTTCACCCAGTTATTTGTATCTGGCTCTCCTGTATTGAAGGCTGCACACACTTGGTCTATTCCATATTCGAATATATCACTCTTTTGTAATTCAATGATCTATCTGCATTCATCTGTAACTCATAACAGCCTGAAATAAACAAATACGCCCTTGGGTTGTCTTAACTGTACAACCCATCTTAAAATTGAATCTCCTTCTCATTGATATTTTCAATGTTATTTGAGATTCCAAGGAATTACTGGTGATGGATTGATAGTCTATTTTGTTTGTCCATTGTATACCTAAAACAAAGTAATTGATGGAAAAGTTGTCATAAAATTTTTTTATTTGGTGAATTCATCATTTTGTGTAGAAACACATACTTCCAAGTCATTGCTTGATTTCTATCTATGATAGTTTTGGTTGCCTATGGAGTAGTATTTTATGATTAGCTGAAAAGTTGGCACTTTGTTCTAACTAAGTATTAGGAATTCGCTTGTCATCATATCCAATTTTACACTGTATATGTTCATAGGTAGAATTCTCATGGGGTGTTATTATTAATTTTTGTGAAAGGATTTCTTTCTCGTATCGTGGTTTCACGTAACCACCAGTCTGTTACAACTTCTCCACCATCAGATCAGGTCCCATGCATACAAACAAAAATCGGGTCTCATGTAGTTTCGTACCTAACATACTTCTAGTAGGCGTAGCATAACAATTTTTTTACGTGTCAATCCTAACCCCCACCTGACCACACCATCCATTACGTCATTACGTCAATACGGCGTCACAGTGACGTAATAGAGCCCTTCAAACTATGCGAACTGTCATCCAAGACGCGCAGACGAGAACCCGAAATCGAACAGTCATTTCTCTCGTTTTCTCGTCGCACCAGTCCCGATAGGAGAGAGATCGCTGACATTAATCAGTTCTTTATTGTCAGCGCCGATGCCATTTCGGGCGATCGTACGAGTATTTGGCAAGCTCTATGACGTGATTGTGACGTCGTAGGGACGTAATTTTTGGATGGCGTAGTCAGGTGAGGGTTAGGATTAGCATGTCGCAAGATTTTCATGCTACGCCTACTAGAAGTACGTTAGGTACGAAACTACACGAGACCCCAAAAATCCATATTGACTTTCACCTTTCACTGGATAAATATGAGAATTCTATTTTATATTAAGATGATGAAGTTGATAAAACACCTTGGGGTGAATTAGAAAGTGAGAGTGAGGAGGAATCATCCTCTGAGGAAGAGGAAGAGGACCAACAACAACCTGATGCAACTGGGTTCATTACCCCGGCAGAAAGGTAAAAATAATTCAATTCAAATTATATTCACAAAGGAAAGTCTTATTGTGGATGTTAAAGTGCACCACGCATACAAGATAGCAAGACCCATAATCTGGCTACTGCTGTATTCACAGGAACTTTCTCAAACATTTGACACTATTTATATTCAAAGTAGCGAATACAATTTTATGACAATGATAGAATATTTTTATTTTAAATATTTTCACTTTATACAAGTGATCATGTTTCCATTCATCTTTATAACTTTTAAAAAATACTATTCAAATTTGTTTTTGTCAACTTTTTGTATTAACATGTGAATCCATCTGAAAGTACATATTCCATTTAGAAAAGTATGTTTTATAGTGTAGTTATCATAGTAATTGGATGGTGTTGACAATAACACTTTTTGACTTCTGACTAATTGTTGTAACAGTAAATTCTGTGTATTATTTTAGTGGTATGGTTACACCAAGCGGTATATCATCTGTGCCAACGGGAATGGAAACACCAGATATGATTGAATTGAGAAAGAAAAAGATTGAAGATGCAATGGAAGGGTAAGCCACCATATGTCACTTCTGTCTTTTTTCAAGATTACCGTGTAATGATCATATAAGTATTGAGTTGGTGTCAACGATTTAAAAACAAAATGTACTGTTGTGCTTCTATAGTTGATAATGACATAAAAAACTGATCAAGCATCTCAGTGTTCATGCAGATTAGAACAGTGCTGCTACCAGATTAGAATAGCAGTCCTGAGACCCAATTCGCAGAGAATATAATGACTGAGAGCAAAAATTTCTTATAAATATAGAATAATTAATGAATATATATACCAGTATATGATAATCTTTCCTGTCAGCCTGAAATTGGACATTTCACAAATCTGAGTTCAGTTCATATAAGCTGTTGTTTCCTTATTTCTGTCAACAAATCACACTGTGTATAATTATTTGCTATTTATATTCCTATTGTACATCTAAACCAGGGGTCGGCAAACTACGTCCGCGGCGCTTCACTGAATTATATTAACAAAACAGCTGCATTGACGATTATATTCTTTACGTGACAGAATTGTTTTGAGACACTAAATTATATTATAACCTAACAAGTATATAATTCACAATCACTCGTTTTATGAGGTTATAATTGATTATGATTAGACAAATGGCAAAAAAGTTGATGCTGAGTGCAAATGGTTTAATGATCCCAAAAATATTCAAATGACCAGTCTTCGCGCACTGCTTGAAATTTAGCTGAGATTTGTGTGAGAAAATGTGATTCATTGGCCATTAGTTGGGTTTTTAACTTTCTAAAAATATGTGCGGCCTGCTATTGACTTGGAACCTTAATTTTGGCCCTCGAACGACAAAAGTTTGCCGACATCTGATCTGAATGAATACAATAACGTCTGTTTTGTTTTTGTAGTGGTGAAACACCAGAACTGTATACTGTATTACCTGAAAAATCAGCTGGAATGGTTGGAAGATCAATGATGGCTTCCAGTCATGTTTACGATATTGCTGGTGTAAGTCAAATTTTCAGTAAACTTACTTCTATTAAACTGTATATTCGCTAATTGTGATTATTTTATTTACTTCATTGGGAAATTGGGGGGTCCTATTTAAAAATTATTTTGAAAATTTGTGAATGTTTCATCAGCAATCTGGTGCTTATTGGGTACAGTTTCTACCAAAATGTTCTCAATATGAATAATTGGAGCAATATTTAACATTGAATATGCTGACTTCTGTATATATATTTCAGGAGTGTTTTAATGTTCATTCATCCATTGTTTTCGTTTTCTCAAATCACGGTCTCTCATAGTTAAATGCGGCCATTGTAGAATATTTTGATATAAACATTATAGTATAGTGTTTGCTGTACTGAATACCATTGGTTCACTAATTCTTCATCTGACATGTTGTACACCAGGGGTCGGCAACCTTTGCTTCACTAAATTATAGTAACAAAACATCCGTTTTAACGAATATATTCTTTAGACTAAATTATATTATAACCTAACAATTATATATTTCACAATTACTCGTTTAATGAGCATATAATTTAATTGTAATTAGGCAAATGGCAACAAAACGCAGAAAAGTTGATGCTAAGTGCAGAGGGTTCAATGGCGCTGGAAATATTCAAATGGAATTTTATGAGATGCAATGAGGAAATAAATCTATATTCTATTCGAGAGATGTATCACTGCTTGATTTTTATTATAAAAAGTACCATCCGTTCGGTTTTTCAACTTTCTAAAAATATGTGCGGCCCGCCAATGACTTGCAACCTTAATTTTGGGCCTGTGAGCGACAAAAGGTTGCCGACCCCTGCTGTACACATTGTGACACCAGTCATTTTCTCAAATATATATGTAAATGCATTATATTCAACAGGCAAAACGTGCGCAAGGTACAGGTGCTTCTGATCAAGCCGGTGTTGAAGTTGCATTGAATCCTGAGGAACTTGAGTTGGATACTGCTGCTATGGCTGCAAAATATGAGGAAAGGGTTCGTGAACAACAAGCTCAAGTTGAAAAAGAAGATTTTAGTGACATGGTAGCGGAACATGCAGCTAAACAAAAGGTATAAAATCGAAACATTAAACAAAATATACACAGTTGTTGGTTTATCTTTTGGCCAAATGAACTTATTTAAGAGGTTTTCAAAACTCTAATACCATAATATTATTTATCAGAAAAATTAAATTGATGGTTCTATGATTTTTGGTTTGTATTGGCCACACAGTTAACTTTTTTCAGAAGTCAATCTTTTATACTGGCGAGTATGTGCTCATGACCATTCTTTGAGCAAATTCGGTTTACATTTTTTTTATCCTTTTTGATAAGAAACAGTCTTAGATTTTTTAAACTAGTTGCAATTGAAGAAGTTTTGAACAATTAATGTGAATTAACACGTATTTGTAAATTATTTCACCCAGAAAAAGAGGAAAGCACAAACACAAGAACCAGGAAGGGCAACAAAGAAATACAAGGAGTTCAAGTTTTAATATCACAATCATTCTTTCGACATTATGGGTATTGTCTACTTTAAAGGCACTTTCGCGAATGTTGAGTTCATCGATATAGGAGTTTAAATGGGACCAAAGCGATGAATTGCAGAAGATTAGAAACTGCCATGCAGAAGATTAGAAACTGCCACACGGCTCGATCTGATACATTGTTGTATATATTTATGTCTATCATGCTTTTGATAAGAATAAATGTGAAAAATCAACAGGGCGGCTTATGAAAGATTTAATGTTTGAGTGATATTTGCGCATCACATTTGTATCACCAAACATTTTGGTTACTGGTAAACTACAGCATACAGTGAGTCGAGTTTACGAACTTCGTTGACGTATCGTTGAACATTCTGAGTTTGAATGCGGGTAGGGTCTTTAGCAGAAAGGTTAAATCATGAGTCATGTTAAAGACATTTCTGGTCAACTCGTAACTTGGATGAGTAAAGATACGGTAGCTTATTCAGACTTCGTATCGGTGCAAAGTCGAAACTTAAAATAGAGTAGAGTGAAAAATAATCGAGGTCATCGAAAAGGCAAACAGTCTTATAATTAGAATTGAAACGTGCATGCAGAATGCAAATACAGAATTCTTAGATGTAAAATGAGCATGCACTTTATTTCAGTCATATGTAACTAATTAAGAATGATTAAACGCCGTGTGACTACCAATTGGCAGCTGACCCTCTGTGATTATACGGTATTGATCCAAATTTGTTAAAAACAGGAAATCCATGCACCAAGCTGAATATAGCCGAATTGCCAAACCAACTGATAGCCGGTTTTTTAACGGGCTCACCAGGTATACGCGTAAATGATTACTAACTTGTTCTCATTAAACAGTCTAAGTTTCAATTCATTAAATTTTTAGGTATTTTTTCATATATTTGTTTTCTGATGATTTATTTCCGTCTTGTACTTAAAAATAAATTAGAATATCTTTAGACTCCAACCACATTATATTAGCAACTATTCTCACGTGTTTGCAGTTTAGCAATTTAGTCCTCACCGTAACGTGTAATCTGTTGACCCACGTAGGCAATTGGGTAGCTTACCGTGCCCCCTTATACCTACCGCATCAATGCAAAAGTTAATTTTAGAAGAGGGTAATGCAGCTATTTTAAAAATGTTAATACTAGTGTTGGTTATGTTATACTGTTATAGTCTATGCCAGGGATGGCGAACCTTTTTCAATGAATGGGTCAAAAATTATAATTTTATCGCGGAACAGAAGAGAGTGGATCACAGATATTTAATTCACGTTTGTATCTATAAGAAACTTCTGAAACAAATCTTATAAGCTGGTGTTGGTGTAGTTTTGGGCTTGGGTCTAGTATAGTTTAGTACCACAAGTACTTCTGGTGGGCGTAGCATAACAGATTTTGCATATGCTATTCCTAACCCCCACCTGACTATGCCATCCAAAAATTACGTCACTACGACGTCACCATCGCGTCATAGGGATTGCGAAAGTATAATTACGATCGCCCGAAATGACATCTGCGCCGCTGATAACGAACTTGCTAAAGCCGGCGATCTCTCTCCTATAGTGATCTCTCCGACAAGAAAACGAGAGAAATTGCTTGCTCGATTTCGGGCGATCGTCTGCGCGTTTTGGACGACCATCCGCATACTTCGGTGGGCCTTATTACGCCACTGTGACGTCGAAATGACGTAAATTTTCGGTGGCGTAGTCAGGTGGGGGTTAGGATTGACATATGCAAAATTTGTTGATCCAGGTCAACTAGAAGTACATGTGGTACTAAACTATACCAGACCCTTCGGCTTTACTTATGCAGCACTTCTATCAGGGACTTTTCATGGCACTCGATTTTATGATATTAGAGTACGAAAACACGCACATGAATTACCAAAAACGTTTAGGATGATGCGTTAAATTATTTTACGGTTCTAGTGTTTGGAGGTAATTCCGCTTTGATAGTGTTATAATTTTCGATCAGCTTTCAACCACATTAAGCCACTTTTACACTGCCCCATTGTTATATCAGATTTCTAGATTTTTATTTCAAGTCTGAAAGTTTTTGTTTTCACAACGGCATTGTAGACGAGAAACTAATAAAATGCAAAGTAGCATCTAGTTCTCGTATAACCCCTAAAACAGTATGCAGATGCACTTCCAAAAAAGACAGGCGTTGCGAGAAATGAACAGATCAATTGCCCAGACTGGATTCCATGGCAGGTGCACGCCCGAGGGCGCTAGCGCTCCGCAAAAATGCACGCGAGCGAAATCAATTTTGCACGCCGAAAATTTGCAATTGCTCACCAATGTAAATCGGTTTAAATGGTTTTAAAATCAATAATCCAGTAAAAATCCAGTAATATAAAGATGCCAAAATATTATAACTCCACAATTGTCGACAAATACCAGCTTGCAAGATTTGGTCTGATCGAAATATTGCGAAGCAAAAAGACCTTGGACCTTTCCCCAACCTTTGACCCGCGAAAAATTCCTCTCATTGTTACGTCCTTTTTTGCATCTTGCTGATTGGCCAATGTCACGAAGTAAACAAGGAAGTCGATGCTCGGGGAAAGGTCCATATCGTGTTGAATGATAGGAAATAGGAATCCCGTGAGAATAGTTATGGACGAAAAGATCGCCTCCGCACCAATGGCCAAGTACGGCTCTGATTCAGCGTATTTTTCATACAATAATTTTACACGAATGTACTGAACAGTACCGGTATCTAAAGTTGCTCAAACACTCCCAAAATTAGTAACAAAGTATGAAAATAATGTTTGGGGTCAAAGGTCAAACGTCCATTTTGCTCTAATTTGACGTATTTTTTATCCATTAATTCTGCGTAAAAACACTACCAAAATTAATGACAAAGTATGTCCATTTTGCTCTGGTTCAACGTATTTTTTATCCAATAATTTTATGCGGATGTACTGAACAGTACCGGTATCCAAAGTCGCACAAACACTTTCAAAATTAGCGACAAACTGTAGAAATAATGTTTGGGGTCAAAGGTCAAACGTCCATTTTTTCTCTGATTCAACGTATTTTTTATCCGATACCGGTAATTTTACGCGGATGTATTGAGAGGTATCTGATGTCAAAGTCAGTTGCACGCGAGTGCAGTTGTTTTGCACGTCGTGAGCTATAATTGCACGCCAGGAATTCTTATTTGCACGCGGGAATTTCTGATTGCACGCCCGATTTCTCGTTCAAAAAGGCCATGAAATCCAGACTGGTCAATTGCGTTGTTATGTCATAAACGATGTCAGGCCCAATAGCTGAACACAGCGGTGCATACATGCGTACAAGATTAGGGGTTTTGAAAATTACCATACCGGCCCAAAAATCAACATTTTAAACATGAGCGATCGCAGCCCTTCCTGACTGTCCAACTGACGGTACATTATAATAGTTTCAGAGTTTAGTTATTGTTAGATTAATTTAAGGCCGGTTTTATCAATTTTTATCACTGATATGTTAGCATTTTTTTTTATTTTATTCGTGCCTTCGCTTGGCGGGTCACAAATGAAACGCGGTGGGTCAGTGGTTCGCCATCCCTGGTCTATGCCATGGCTACTAAACTGACGGTCCGAAATTTGGACGATTTATTTCACAATCGTACCAGTGATGAAATGCAATTTTCGCTAAACCATTGAGAAAAAAATACATTTCACAGATTTTTAACCCGGGTTGTGAACATCACTTTGTTTTTGTAACTTTGTATACTATTTGTCAGTTTTTAGTTGCTTTTGAAATTTAAAAATAGATGAAATAACTCGATTTCACAAAATCTGAAAAATACCATAGGTCTACTCCGACTTCCTAGAACTAAGATTGAAATAATTGACTGGAACGAAGAAATGTGACGAACAGCTATTGGACATGAAGTCGGCTAATGAGATCATTTCGCTAAAATTTTTGTTGACATTGTCGTTTTTTTAATATTGTTGAAAGAAAACATTATTTTCTGCAACTAATATATTCCAAATTTTAAGTCCTAACGGTAATTCATGTCGCTAAAAGACTGTTAAATACATTTATTTTTACCTGTTTACGGGTGCCATGGGGGCGAATATTTCATATATTTTCAGCAAAGTAAGCGCTCATCTACACAACTGAAGCCTTGTCATACCGGCACCAGAGCGCGATATTGAGCATTGTATGTATGTATGTTTATTTGTCTCGGAATAGTGATAAATAAATTAATTGCCAACAAATATTTAAGACTGGACTAAAACACAAATGTGCGGCATGCACCCCTTTTGACAAATATAAAACAAAAAACGTTGGATTAAATATCTGTGATATGGTCTCTTATATAGACAGTTTTGCAAGGTCTGAAGGTGGGGCGATTGGTATGGTGGAAGTGGTAAGGGTGGAGTATGCAAAACTGTTTAAACAGGGGAGTTTATAAGACAAGACATATAAATAGAGACAACACCACACCAAGTACAGGTACATAATGATGAAATCAAAATTTAGGCGTAAATACAGCTCTTGTATTTCATCAAACGATGCATTTTGAATTTTGTTTACTTAGTTAAAATATATTTTTTGGAAAGACCAAACCACAGTAATTTTACACAAACTGATAAAGGAATTAACATAAAGTGAGAGATAGATTTATTGCAAACTGGTACTGTAATAGTCTTCTTACTAATGTGCAGTCAGTAATCGAACCCTTACTGCATTACTACAGTGAATAGTCGAATCTTTATTGCACTGGTATTTTGTATACAGTGATATATTATCTTGAATAATGAAAATGCTTCAAGACAAGTTAGATGAGTCTCCAGTATCTGGCGGTGATTCTTCTAGTGAAAATGAAGAAAAATCTAACAATGCTGCGTGGGCAGAAGTTATGGGGAAAGTCTTGAATAAGCAAGGCCCCAAAAATGAAAAATCTATAATACTTGCGAAAAACAAAGAAAAAGTAGAAGAAAATAAGCAAGAGCGCTCCGAACAACGTGAAAGAAAAAAGCAGGTGGGTGCTTTTTATGTAATTTCATCCATTTCTGAATGATTTTGTGATGCCTGTGATATACGCTAAATTCATAGTAGGGTCCGCAGATCGCTTGGGGTTCGTGAAGCACTTTCGGAGGATCCGCGAAAGAAATCTGCTATATGGCTCATAGCTTGATAATACAAAAATTAAGTGCTTATATTTGCAAATACACATTTTTGCTGCTTCATAATCACTGCTGGAGACACTGATTCTTCACTTTCTGCTTCGATTACACTCTCCCATTGTGATGTCACAGAGCTGGGGGCCTGTGATATCACAGAGAAAATTCAATTGCTGCCATTACAAGTCAACTAACTGCAGAGGTCTGGAGGTATTACTGACGCTGCCCTTTTGCACGTTTGTTGGTATAAGAGGGAGTTACAGTAGGCAATTTATAAAGTTATGCCAGTCCGCTTCTAAATCCCATCTCATTAAACTTCGTCATATCATTTAGTTCGTTTTGATGCTTTTCACTATGCAGCGCATTGATTTTTTGTTGTGATCTTTTAATGTTTTGTTTTAGTGCACAAGGTAGGGAATCATTGAAAAAATTGCAAGGGTTCCGTCATGAAAATTTTTTTAAAAAGTTTGAAAACGATTGCGCTAGAATGTGTTTTGTTCTATCAATTCTTTAAGCAAATTTATAGCTTTTTTTTACATATATAGCTCAACAAGAAGAGGAAATGGGAAGAAATGAATCATGTTAAACCAAATGCACTTGAGAAAGATTATGAGAGAAATTTACAGAAAATAGCAACTCGGTATGAATTTTAATTTAGCCAAAATTAAACTAAGCAATCTTCATTTAGTTTTAGTCCCTAATTCCAATATATATCTATTCAAGTGGTTTTTGGTTTCCAACAACTCTTTTTCTATTAAAATGATTTTAAAACATAAAAATGCTTAAACGTACTTTAAGTGAATGATAATAGTATACATTTCTGCATGTAATTTTGATTTATTTTTCAGAATATTTTTATTAGAAGTTGTATTGGTGCTTGTTTAGCTCTAGTTTTAAAAAAATAAAAGTAACAATAATAAAGTGTTTCCTGTAATTATTATTCAGAGGGGTTGTTCAGTTATTCAATGCTGTCAAAAAACATCAAAAACAGTTAGATGAAAAACTGAAGTCTGCGAAGACAGAAGGCAAAAAAGAACAGGTGGGCGACACATTGTCTTGTAGTCAGTAGAAAGCCTGCTATTCCAATTACATTCTAGAACAGTGGTTCCCAAACTTTATAGAGTTGCGACCCACTATTTATCACCACAGCTTTTGGCGACCCATTTAACTTTAATAAAACATTGATGGAGGAAACAAATTGACATAACACAGAACACAGCAATGGCTAATCATCGCAAAACTATCGTGTTTCCTCGAAATGAAGACCTGGCTTGAAAAAAAGACCTAATTTGAATTTTTAAAATGATTTTAATTAGACCCTACCAATAAAATAAATTTAAAATGTGTGGGAGAGGAAAGGTTCAATTACCTGAGGTAATGTGAAGATCACACCACTATTCAAGATTGTGTGATGTCACAACCACAATTATGATATTTGTCACTTGATTTTTGTATAGGAAATACAAATAAAAACAATGGATGTCGGTTTTTATATAATGTTCATTAAAAAATCTCGTGAATTTCTACAATGTAATTTTATTTTTGATAAAGAACCCAAAAGGTCTCTTCCAAAGAAAACTAGTGTTATTCTTCAAAATAAATCTAAATCCTGTCTAAATTTCGGGAAAACACTGTAAGAAGTGCTGTACAGTGTATAAAACTGCTATGCGTAAAAAATTCACATTGGTCATTCTTTGTGTAGCAAATTTTGTTCCTCTTGAGAAGATCGTAAAAAGGAAACTTTCAGAGATTAGAATTTAAATTCAATTTAATTTTTTTTTTTTGAAGATTGACGTATTCGAGTCGGCATTGATCCTAATACCCAGTATAATTAATCAAAGCTTTCCACATCTTTTCACGACCCACTAAGATTCCTTTTGCGACCAACCAGTGGGTCGCGACCCATAGTTTGGGGACCGCTGTTCTAGAATAATATTTTCAAAAATCGAATATACCGCTACTCAAATTGGTAATGTTCATCAATGTAGATTTCTTTTGTAACATTCAACTGAATTTGAAATATAATTTGAATGAGTGATTGTGCTTCAACATTCTATTGTAGGTCATGAAATCTGTTTCGAAGGGAGAATTTCTAGATATGTTGAAAGATGATAAAGTGGTCACGAAACAGAAAGCTGGAAAGGTTTGTATATAATAAGTGTTCAAAGTTTAACTGTACTAGAAAATTTATATAAAGAAGTTTTAAATTCTTTATCAAGTATGTCTAATGTTGAGATATAATTTCTTACCTTTGTTTTGCAGCACTGGAAGTCATTTAACTATTTATTGCATCAATGCCCATTGGGCCATCATGCCCAATTAAATGTGTTTACTCAAGCATTGCAATGTCTCGCATCTCATTCTCCCAATACTAACTCTTTTTTTCTTTTCTGCTGACTTTCCGCAGTTCAATATAACTTGAAATTTCTAGTGAAGTAATATTATGAGCTTAATCTTGTTAGCTGACATGTTGGTGCTATTGTATTAATACAAGAATGGGTATTGTTGGATGGCTTGCTTGATTATAGCTCAACTAAACAACATCGACAATATTTATCTGATCTTTTTTTGATTTTATTACAAATTAGAACTTTGATCCTGGGGTGCCAGATACGACAGCGGAAGATACAGGATGGGATGTTCTCAGAGATGATTTCATGATGGGAAATAAGCTTAAAGACTGGGATCAACGTTCGGATGGCGAAGATGATTGATAATAAATATATATGGGGGGTTTCCGTAAAGGTGCGAAGCGTTATCTACTGGTGAAACTTGAGGGAACTGGGCCGTTGCGCAAGAACCTCCAAACCTATGAGGGTTGTTTCACACAATTCCTATCAGCGTCGAGGAGTGCATAGATCACTGTGTCACGACATAAAAACAAATTCAGACTTCTCTAACTTACTAGTAAAGTTTGACTCGACCAAAATTCACTATTATGGTAATATATATTTACTTAATATTACTTTCTAGAGTGGTTAACTTTGTGCATTGTTACATTCAAGTACAAATACATATATTGAATAGTAATAAAGTGTTAAAATATGCCGTATTATCAATGGAGATAAACCGTCAGCATGGGTGTCATATTTATGTCTGAGTAACTGATTTCATTATAGAAATTTGGGCCAACGTTTAGTTGCATCAGAGCAAGAATCGAAACTCTCTACTGAAAACTAGAGCAGAAATATGTCTTACACCCAATTCACATAACTTTTCTAGTACATGAAGCGTGTGAATGCATGTAGTGTTAGCGATGCTTCTGTGCCATCAGTTTATATGAGATGAGCTTTTTTTCCTATCATTAATCACAAAGCAAAATTGCGCTCAAGGGAAGTTACTACCGCTTAAGTTAGGCTTGCACGTGCATTCTAAAAATACAAGCAAGCTATCACGTGATTACGTTTGGAAAAATTGTGCCAGAATAAACTGATCGATCAATTCATATGATTGTGATGTTCAGACATATTCAGAAATACATGCAAATAGACACATTGTGTTGGGCATCCTTTGTTTGAAGACTGATTTATATAATATATGTGCGTAATAGCTACGTGTGATCTATCGCGGAGGATGTTTGAAGTCCACAAAATTGTTCTTGCTATTTATACTTTGGGAAGCTTCTGCTTCATTTGACGCCAAGTTTTATCGATGAACAGTCTGTCTGATTTTATATTTCTGGTTACCATGTCGCCGAAGACAATACCTCCCAGTTCGGCTACCCCAGCGTCTCTGCCCACAGGCACGGCCATTCCAAAGCTTCCCGACTTGTATGGCTTCATTGCCCGCCCGTCAACGCAAGCAAATAGATTATTTGACAACGAAGCACCCTGGGCATATGCAGTCACCAGCATCTTTTCCTCGTCTACATTTGTGATGTCTCCTAGAGCAAAAATGTTGTCTGTGCCTTCTACTTTTAGAAATTGATCAACCTTCACTTGCCCTCGATCGTTTATGGCGTCACCGAGAGCGTCCTTGAAATCGTCCGTCAAGAGCTTAACTCCCGTGCATCTGAACACCAAGTCCACCTTAATTTCTTTGCCGCTTTCTGTTTTCAAAACTTGATCTTTTGTGCACTTGTTGATTTGTAACTCATTAAGATTCGACACTCTTTCATTCAGCATCAATTCTATCCCCTTTCTTTTAACGAGAGCTTGTAGTTTAGACTGGGTACCTGCTTTCAGTCTGTTAGAACATAACACTTCGTTTGAGTGAATAAGAATTATTCTCTTATCCGGAAAGTCGGTTTTTAGTTCTCCCGAAAGTTCCACGCCCACTGCTCCACCCCCAACACAAACAATAGTGTCGGATTCGAGAATTTCTTTGTTAATATCTTTGTATAACTGCAATCCTTCTTCCTTTGAGATTTTGGGATATTCTATCGACATCTTGGCGGGAAACGGGCCACCGCCACCAGTTGCGAGTACCAGGTGTGTATATGGAATATCTTGCCCGTCATCAAGGGTGACCGTATTTGCATCCTTATTGATCTTAACCACCTTTCCTCGTAAAAAGGCATCTCCGAATGTTTCTTGGTATGGTATATATATGTAATTCGCAAAACTAGGTTCGACACAAGAACGCAGTGCTCCAAGGTTATAAAACAAACTGTCTTTGGGGTCGATCAGCTTCACTTTTCCTGTATGAAGCAAGTCCAGCGCAACACGGATGCCAGCAAAGCCGCCACCAACTACAACAATTTGTGTATCTTCGGGCAGAACTTTGGACGCTCCCCCACCCATTATGATTGCTATATAATGTATCTGTTATTTAATGTAAAGAAATAGGGACGAGCTGTTAGGTGCTAGAGATATGCTGTTCAACGATAACTAAGACAAAATACGCTAATAACGACTGTTTTTCGGAATCAAATTTGATATTAGAGGCCTGTCAGAGATTAAACGGCTTCCAACAAAACTTGAAAAAGTTAATGGGAGATAAAAGTAAAACATATTTTTACTGTGTCTTTTTTTTATTCGGAAATATTCCAGGAAAAATGAAGTAGTGAGAATATAATATTCCAGCCGCCCTTCATGTTAATCTTGATAGGATAAAAATTTCGTAGAAATGCCGCAAAATCTTAATGACAGCATATCGTATTCGGTCAACGATTATGAACAAGTTGTTATGAGCGTATCAACGGATTTTTGTGTTTCTTACTTATTATTTTCCATTTTCGTTGGTGCTTTCCATGTTGCTGGATTTCGTAAAATTCATTTTTACTAGATTCAATTTCTAACCTGCACAATACCTATCTACTTCTTGCGAATTATTTGCTTGTCTAAATTCTAAATAAACTATACAACTTCAGATAAAAATACTTTCAAAACGAAATAACAATATAATATTTATTTCATCATTCAAGACCTACATTTGTCGAACTGGAATCGCCGTAAGAGCTATAATCACTATAGCATTCATAAATAAATTACAGACATACATGCAAAGGGCGTATACACTTTTGCCACTAAAAGCAATAAGTGGTTTCAGCTGAGTCACGTTTTTTCGTCATACGCACATCAGTGGCCATTCACCTAGCGTTGTGCCTGACTGCTGATAAATAAATAACCATTCCTTTTTAAATTAACGGGTCTGTGATAAGAAAAAAATGAAAAAAGTAAAATAAATAATAACTCTTAGATTTTAAGGATAAACTCAATTAGTATAGTATAGTTAATTTAAATTAGTATATTTTGTAGATTTTTTTATTTACTCGACAGTATTTTAATTTTTTAACCTTTTAAACGTAAAATTGCCCTGCCCAACACTATTGACAAACTTAGAAATATCGGCGATATTTGATATAATAAATTTTTTTATCTCAGTATCAAACATTCACAAAGACTCGCTTCGTTTGTGTTTTAATAGGGAAAAAATACTATTATAGTATGCTGAAGACGACTTTTTATGTGCAGTGATTGCTTCACTATACGTTTGTTTTACGCAATTCACCTTTTTCGTAAAAATATCAGCGACAACGTGGCAAGCCAATAACGACTACGACTCACGAAGTTGAGCGGTATGCTTATTTTCAGCCCTTGTCCATACTTTTTGAAATGCATCGACGGTCAACAAAATGTAATTATTCTACACACATTTGCCTCGGGCTTTGAAAAAGCGTAACAAACTTAGGTGCTTAAAATTGCTGACGGATTACTGATATGCATCATGAAAACCGTTTTTAATATAATTTATTTTAAACTACGCTGTGGTAAAAATGACAACATACTGGTATACAAGTTACAAATACCCACGTACATTTTGCGTATCCAGTGTATATTCATCTCATCATTCAATACGCCTACCTATATTCGTTGAACTGGAATGGCTGTAAGAGCTACAAATACAATCACTATAGCATTCGTAAATAAATTACAGACATACACGCGAAGGGCGTATACACTTTGGCCACTAAAAGCAATACATAGTTTTATGTTGAGTCACGTTTATTCGTCAAATGCACTTCAGTAGCCTTTCTCGAAGTGTTATACCTGACTAAATTGAAATAAAGTTTAACGCTGCAGGATCGATAGATCGTATAATCGCAGAACTGCACGACTCTTACATGACACATACATCTCGCTGGAGGAATGGTATTGCCTAGTTGGGAACCAATGGGAAACACCACGCCCATTATAATAAACGTTTATCAAAAAATAAATAGAATTTATAATGTGGCCACGCCCGTATATGAAATTCATTATGAAGTCATAATATGCTTCTTACTATACTTAAATGTATTATGATGTCATAAATAACGTTTTAAATTGCGTGAACTACTTCTATTAAAAATAAATTTGAGTTGGGTTGCGCGAGACTAACTTCCTATCTTTTCTCTATGCCTTTATGCTAGTGGAACCGTATGCGTATACTGCAAGGATACTGTAGCCGGAAAAAACATGACTATTCTATCCAATTAAAGAGCTCAGCTGCACACTAACACAAATGTATGGACTTCCTCTCGGACGAAACGTTACAGAAATACATTTGTGTTAGTGTGCAGCTGGACTCTTTGGATAGACTACTTCTATTACTGGTAAATCCGACACTTGCCTACTCTGAATTTCGCCAATTCCTCTGCTTCACCAATCACCAATGCTTCTTTATTACAGACTAATTCACGAGTCGTCGATACGTAAACAGCGTTTGCCTATGTAAACTCCTGATGTGATTTTATCGTAAAAGAATGTGTCTGTTGTAAAGGCTTTGAAATCTTTACTTTATGCACACGCTCTGCTACGCCTGAAAAGATCAGCCAGATATGATGGATGTAACATATTCTTATTCCCTCGAGATTTATTGCGCTAATTTTGCAATAAGTACAATAGGGCTCCGATGGCAAATATGCTAACTTGTCTTTACATGGATATATTTGCATTGTATTTGTGGAACGCTCCTACATTTGCCTAGATGTGCTTGGTTGGCTTTGAAGGGAGGTGATAGAACCAGTTATTACTTATGAAAGCATACTAAAGAATCTCACAGCCATCTGTAACCTGATTTGGTTGACTTTTTAAGATAATTATAAATGAAATAGTTTGGCACAATAAACGGTTAACGCGGCGTTCAACACAATAATCCAACTCCGTATACCGGTACTCGGTGTCTAAACAGAAGCTAGTACTTTTGTTTGCTGTAAATCTGTTTCTAGCGAAACATATTTTGTTAAACTGTATTCTGCACGAATCATGCATTATCTAAGTTTTCCTTATGCCAAAAAAACATACCTAATGTTGCTTCACTTTAATCCAAATCATTTCACTCAAGAAAGCATACTAAAATCCTCGTTGGTTTCGCCACACCCGCCACAAGTTTTGAATTATTAACGACTTCCGTTTTTATGTTGAGGCTAATTGCAGGTTTAAAATAAACTTAGTTTTTATCACGACTTTCTCTGGAACAAAGTGAATCTCTAATTCAGGGTCGTCCAACCCGCGGAGGTCGAGTGGCCCGCGCTGTATTTTCGAAATTGTATAAAAAAAAATTAGTAAAACTTCTATTTTTCGAGTGATGTAGTATGCAAAGATTTGATACAAACAATTTGTTTATTTTTCTAAAATGTGCTCTGCCAGCCCTTTCAAACGAGCCATAAGTGCCATTATGCCATGGTTAACTGAATATTCAGTTAACCATGATTATGCATCGAAACCAACAGGAGTTTACTGAATATAGTTCGATCACGGACGGTTCGCTACGCATGAGTGATGCGTTATACGTCATCAGTTTGCTATATTTTTAAGCTTACGAAAGAGGATTTTCGTTTGAATTTATTTGCGTATTTGGAGTGGTTTTGTTGGTTGAAATGACTGAAAAGATATACTGACGCATTAGGATGAAGTAGGGGGTCGTGGCATCTGCCAACCATCTCTGCGTCGGTACCATAAATTGTCAAAGTGGAGTAGGGCAGAGTAATTCCGCTGTTCTGTGATTGCATTTATTGGATGGTAATTAAAGGTTTATACCAGCATTATAGCACAAAAGTGAGAATTCAGATACTCCCAAGTATGGGCGATATAGAATACCGAATCCGGAGGATTTGAATCCCTAGGACTCGATTTCCGTCTCTTCGGCGCCGTGCGTCAAATTTTGTAATTCGGATTTCTAATTTAGTAATAAGGGACGAGCGTTATTTTCTCGCAACGAAATCTGTCTTGCGTGATTATACTTATACCCGCAAACGATAACAAACAACCTAATCCCAGCTTGAATAATCAGAACGCGGAGACGGCGTTATTACACCAATTTATTTTTTATCATTGGGGCCGACTGCCATCTTACAGACGATTTTCCGATTGCAACAATCCTAATTTTTTGGAATAGTGAAACATTCTTTATTTTATATTAAATGACTTTTCGAGTTCCCTCGGAGAATGATGAGTACCCGACGTTAGATGATAAAACATTATTTGCGATTAATTTAGATCAAATTTGACTTTTAATTTTCACGACACCCGGTTTCCGAAAATACGAAGTTATAACGCAAAACAATGCGCTTTGTCACATTTATTTTACGCTCCCAATAAAATACGTATATATTGGAGTTGGAGTCGCTGATGAATCCGTTCCTATCGCCCAAGCGCGACACACGCCTGGTCGAGTGTCGGGTGATATTTTAGTCACGGTGGATTAAAAAAGTTGCGATGATAACTGGAAATTAAAATTTGGTAACAAAAATGAATTTGTCTCAAAATGTTATTTTATGAGTTTTGCTCTCAGGAGCAATCGTTTTCTCTCAAAGGCACAAGACATTCAAACAATATATAACGATATCATACCAGTCCGATAACCTACATTCTCTTTAGACTCTTTAGATTGGTTCCCAACCGCCGGTCCGCGAAGCATTTTTGCCGGTCCGCGAGAAATTTCGGTGTTTTGTTGTTTTTATGCCGTCTAAATCGCTGTACCGAAGGCGAGGTTGCGTTGGTTTATTACGCAATTTCTCTTCCGCCGTCATATTGTGACAACTTGGCGCCCAGTAATCATACTTTTCGCTTTTTCGGCTCCGCTCCGATCTCTTCACCGAAGACGAGGTTGCGTTGGTTTATTACGCAATTTCTCTTCCGCCGTCATATTGCGACGTCCTTCGCGACATCTTGGCGCCGAGTAATCACACTTTTTGCTTTTTCGGCTCCGATTCTTCGTGAATGCTCTCCATCAAATCTTGCAAAATTCAGAAACCTAAAAATTGGCACGCGTGCTTTTTCTGTTCTGCATGCTTTTCCTGATTAATATGACCATCCAAATAAAA